GTCACAATTAAACCCTTTAAGACCCAATATCAGAACTCTACTCAAGATATGGATTTGTCTTAAAATCGGGCACCCAAATCCAGTGATCTTCAGTAAGATGGGTGATATGTGGGCATCCCTCATTGGCAAACTCAAGCATCATCTTGTTTGTTTCTATCTGATTCTATATCCCATGATATCCCATTTACCTCGAAAAATCTCGATGGTTTGTTCTATGCCACCATTGTCGTTGGTTGAAGCCCCATTCAGAGTATGTTCGTCCCAACAAACATAGAAAAGTGATTTGCCACGATTTTAGTATATAGAATATGGTACAGTAGGATATCGCTTCTATTTGTTTGTGGAATTGCTAGAAGAATGATTCATTTTGTTCTACCCTCCCCATGGCTAACATTGACCCTGCCATCAGTCAGGGGAAGATTACTTTCCATTAAAATTCGGCGATGTTGAAGGGCATGGGGGATGATATTTCATGTTGTCAGATAGGAAGTGGTTTATATGTCCCTATTTTGAAAAAATATATGACCCGGATTCGAACCTATATATTACTATAAGCCACATATATACGTATACATATATAGATAGATAGATAGATAGATAGATAGATAGATAGATAGATAGATAGATAGAGATGTAATCATGAATACTGTAAGCATATATAATCTTATATGATCCCACCCCCAATTCATTTTAAACAGCCTCATTGCATGGTCCCAACTCTGTGTTTTCATCCCCTACATCCACCATGTTTCTGGGGCGAAAACGATGGAATGGGCGCAGGATGTGGCATGAGCTCTATGAGAGCTGCGACTTTGCGAAGCGAAACGCGGAGATTCAAGAGTACCCCAGCAGAAATTGGAGCTCACCCCTCATTTTGATGGGGAGATCATCTAAATTTATAGGGATTCAATAGGATTTGTAGGGATTTATAAATATTTATAGGGATTTATAGGTTTTTATTGGGGTTTATCGTATAGGGATTTATAGGTGTTTATAGGGATTCATAGGGGTTTATAGGGGATATGATGGGGATTACCCTCTGGTAAACAAACAGTTTGCTATTGAAAATTGCCATTTAGTTCCTTGATTTACCCATTAAAAATTGTGATTTTCATTTTCAATAGTGATTTAAAAACGACATCATTTAGTTATTTGATGGTGGTCTGGTATTAAGGAAGGTATTGAAGCAAAGAATGGGGGGAAAACATAATGAGCAATTTACGAATGAATTGTGATACTGAACGTTACCCAAATTCCTGCGAAAAACCTTGGATGGGCACTTTCGTACTTCAATATCTTACTAGTTTATTGGGATTTTAATATACGTGTAGACAACTGTATATATATACATGTATATGTGTGTATATATTAATCCGCTGAAACAATTTGTTTATGAAGGATGTCCAAGATTGGTGATGATCCATAGATCCATAAAGCTATTTATGCATTTACATATACATATACATATACATATACACATACATATACATTGACATATACATATATATATAGAGATATATAGATATAGCATTAAACCATCCAGTTTAGATTGTGAATTTTTGACCGCCATTTTGGGACAACCGAATTGCTTTGCGCGCAAGGTTCAATCGCCAGAATCGATGGCGCAAGTTGGGTCCTGAGACGCGTTGGCGGGGAAGCTCCAGCGAACTGGCCAACAGTACACTGATGATGCTTGATGCATCTACCCTCTGGTAAACATACAAAAAGATATTGAAAATGACCATTTATAGTGCGTTTTCCCATGGTGATTTTCCATAGTTATGTTAGTTTACCAGAGGGTAGCCAAACTCCAAACTCCGCGTCAAAAACCATCCCAAATGTGATTCATCCATATGAATTACTCAGCTTTCCCAAGATCGAAGATTGAACACCCAACACTCGCCGGCACCCGCCATGGGAGCCGACTTGACTTGATCATTGGCCAACGAAGCCACATCATACTTCTACCTGAACCATCCTAAACCCTCCAAGTACCCATGGAAATTGTGTTTTATCCCGTAATTCCAGTGTTTCCAGTGTTTTTTTAATGGTTTTTTACTGTTTTTTGGTGTTGGGTTTAGGTAGACCTGATCTGTGAGGCGAGGCATTGCACAACTCCCCACGAAGTTCGGCATCAGTTTTACGGCCAAGTTCATGAATCAGGCAGCGAAAGAACTACGGTTCTTGCAGCGTGGTTCCGTGGTTCATCAATGGCAACAGTTATCTAGGTCAATCTTAGATGGATACAAACTAATCACTAATCCTGACTAGTCTTCTGGTATCAATGGGAATATCTACGTTCACCAGCAAAGAATTTGTCATTTTTTGCAGGGTATCTAAGATTGGCAATAGTTATCATCATAAGAAGGGGATACAATATTCAATGTAGATAACCATTGGGATATCATCGAAATGTATGTGAATATCCCCAAATATCCCCATTGTTGGTACAATGAAGATAATTAATATTGGGATAACATTGGGATAACCATAATATCCCCATTGGGATAATATCCCAATAGAATGGGATACAATGGGGATATCACCCACAATGGGGATATTCACAGACATTTATCAACTATGGAGATATAAACATTGCTTAAACATGGCAATTGGAAAATTGCCATTTTTTGTGGATGATTCTCCGGTGAAAACCTCCAACAATGGGGATAATGATAGATCAATGGGATTCCAACAATTTTATGGGGACTGAAAGAAGAATGGGAAACGTTTGAAAGGAGAATGTGGATTGTGGGCTGTCCAGGTAGAAAAAGCTCTTTGGACTCTCGTAATTTCTTCTCCTTTCGGTGTCTTCCCTTTGTAGATCTCTCTCTCTCTCTCCCTCTCTCTCTCTCCCCCTGATGGATTTGTTATGTAAGTAAAACTAAGGGGACAGTACCCATGTTTGGACACTTCAATAAAATCGTATGAATGTGTTGGTTGATTTTGTTTCCATCCCCACCATTGCTGCTTGTATTATACTTGTAGGTTCTCCATGATACTGCCAGTATAGGTCTACATACACTTCTGATAAACTGAGATAGAACCCCTGAAATGCCTGATGTTGCTATTAAAACTTACCATTTTAGATTCTGCTTGGTAAAATCCATCAATAAATCCCCTGTCAAGTTCGCAGAAGTTCGACAGGCCGGAGCATTGGTTCACATCTACACAGATGGAACAGCTGGATTCTGAGGTGAAATATGAGATATTGATATTATGATGGGTATATGATATGTATACAACAGTACATGAGAAAAAATACCAAAAGTCCGGGTGGTATAGTGGTGGTTATATAGTGATTATTTATACTATAAATCGGTATATAACATGATCGTAACTATATACCCGTCATGTTTACGTTTCTTGTTTTTCTTTCTATAGTTATCTTAGTTGGGACGATCCAATTGATGGGATACTCACCAAGCCATTCGCCTCCAGTCCAGAGCAAATGTTATGGAAAATGACCCAATTGGTTCGATGATTTACCAAACATTGGGTTTTTCATTGCTATTCTGAAAGCACAAAGGTTTCTTTTGGATCCAAAATTTTGATGCTTAAACTTGTCAGGATTTTGGGTCAAACGCGGCCCCGCATGCCACACCTAGGTCTTATTGACCCACGGAGGAACTGAAATGGGTCGGCGACCATGGGGTGGGAGGGATCACCTGATTGGTTACTTGAAGATGGAGGTATAAACCAACAATACAATGGGAATATACCCTCTGGTTATTTAACATAGCCGTGGAAAATGGCCCATAGAGATAGATGATTTTCCCAGCTATAAACCTCCATTGAGAAGGGATTTTCCATGGCTATGTTTAATAACCAGATGGGAGCATCGAATATAGTGGGATATATCATGGAATACTAACCCAGCCATCTGATGATTGGGTGTGTCTGAAAATGATACTCCGCTGTTCATGGCTGTTTTTTCACTATGAGAAAATGATGATTTTTATCCTGGGATGATAAATCGTCGCCCATTTTCAGACAAACCCATCCCCTCAAAGGGTGTCCTTTTTGTCATGGTTTTGTTGGTGCCGGAGTTCATAGCGGTCCAGGTCTTATCGTAGCGGCAGCGGTCACCAATCAGCATCTCCATCTCCATCATGTCCTCTCTTTGTGTCCAGCATAAAAAAAAACTGGTCCCATCCAAGGTAGAATCTAGACTCTGTAAAATACGGTACCCTCTGGTAGATTGACATAGACCCTGAAGATAGCTTAGTTTTAATGGAGACGAATCTTCCAACCCCTATCTGCCAGGGTCTATGTTAATTTACCAGAGGGTAAAATATGGTAAAATCTGGTCCCATTTCTCCCTGTTTTTCAGTGAAGATCCGACCATTTCTTGGGACCGATCGATCCGATCTGTTTTTGAGCTCGTCAGATCGGAAGAAAAATGCAACAGATCATGTACAGTAATGGTCATACTGTGGATGGAAGAAATCCCGCACCAGTTGGTAAATGGGTTTCCCATTATAATCCCATCATTTCCAGTGTTTCATAGGCACCTAATAGTTCCCAACTGGTGCAGGATTTCTTCCATCCACAGTATCACATCCCCGTTGTATCATATTGTACAGTGTGGTTCCCCCTCCAGTTATGTTTGTTGGTGGCTCAAAACCCTCATGAACGAAATTGAATATCATCGAATATCTACCTGTTCAAGCCAAAAGTTATTGGAAGATTGACCATGATTGACCAGTATATAGCTATCTAAATCCCATTAAATCAGCACAAATTCACCTTTTTAAGTCACCTTTTTCACCATTAAATCACCCTTAACCCACCATGAAATCCCATGAAATCCCCTTTGAAACGCCATGAAATCCCCATGGGATTGGTGAAATCCTCCTGCTCGAATCTAAGGCCAGGGTCTCCACACAAAGATCTGTCAGATTGTGGTCCCAAAACCCGGTACTGCGGAGATGGCAGATGGCAGATGTCAGGAGTATAGCTTGATAGTTCTGGTAATTTTTGCGAAGGATGAATAGCTGTATGTATATTGTGTTGATATAAATATATATATATATGTACAGTTTATATTCTATATGATATTCTTTAGGAATGTATATTTTTAATGTATGTGTGTATATATATATATATTGAGATGAATGTGGGAAACCCAATGCCATAAACCTACCATGACTGATGCTGGATTATAGCAGCCATAGAAATGGTGGTGACTTGGGGATGGTTTATTATTGGGTTTACCACATTTGTGTATGAATATGGTTGATTAGTATATACATATAATCATTATAATCATATATATATGTACATATTCATGATTATTGATATATACTTTGTAATACAAAGGATATATTACAGTATATGAGAATGATATAGAATAACAGTAATAATACAATAGTAGCAAGAATACACTGATTATACATTCATGGTGTCACCTTTTAGACAAATCGTGGTGGCACTAACAATCAAAATCATAGAATGTATAATAGGCTAGAAAGCATCTTAAGTTGATGAACCCTACACTGAGAATGCCGTAACCGCCAGTTGCTTTTGCCCCAATTCTTGTCTTAGTTCGGGGGGTTCCCAAACTAGTGATCAATGGTACACCCCTAACCCTGAATTAATTGGATACCATGAAGACATGGATTGAGACAAACAACTATTAGGTGTTTACTGGATAAGCCATGTGTGAATGGTAGCTTGATGGCGTAGTTTTGCCACTTTGTGAAGACAGACTAGCCGTCAATCAAAGAAGGACGCTTAGTGTTTTCTTTCCAGGTACCCTCTGGTAAACAAACATAGCTATGGAAAATGGAAAATCACCATTTTTCATGGGTAAATCCACTCTTTCTATGGCAATTTTCAATAGCAAACTGTTAGTTTACCAGAGGGTATCCAAGATTAGCCGTCGCTATTGAAACCTGCATTGAAGGCGCCATGAAACGTCGCATGAAGCACATTGGAGCATAGCTTGTGAGCCCTCGTTAAAAGATTTGATTCATTGTTTGATGGCCAACAAACTTGCTAGGATTCATAAGACTTTCTGAGTTTCACTCATCTCCCAGATATCCAGATTTGCATGAAGGAAACATGTCTAGCATCCCCAAACATATAGAAAAGGTTCAAAATCCATCAAAAAACAACTAAAAAATAGTGGCACATGTTCCCTATTCTTTACTTTTGGTGGAAGTGCCATATACTTTTCAACCCAAACTTGAGAAATCTCTGAGTTTCCTCGTGAATTTCCAAGGCCCGTGCTTTTGGTATTCCGATGGCGGACCCCTGGCAGCATGGAGCGATTCCAGCAGCAAAAATGGTGGATTTATGACGATCATAGGGAGATGTGTTTTCGACTTTCGGGATCGTTGCATTCATTCCACTTACTCTCTGGTAAACATTTAATTACATAACTATGGAAAATCACCATGTTCAAGCTGGGTAAATCCACGATTTCGACTGGGCCATTTTCAAGTTCGCAAAGTGTTAGTCATTACCAGAGGGTAGTGGTTAACAACCTTGGTGATCTTAAGTCCCCATTTGTGATACGTGGGATGTCGTGGCTGGAGGCATCATGTCGTTTATGTATAACCAACGTTAAGCAACAAGAAATGATTGTATGGGCGTGTCTGAAAATGGGGACTTGAATGGACTTGAATTCCAATTTTTCACGCTACATATGAAATAGTGATGATGATTAGTGGATTTAGCGCGTACCCTAATTATTTTAAGCACAATCCTATATACTTAAAGTTGAAGAGTTGAATGGAAAAAAACAGCGGGAGTAATTGTTTTTTGGGCTCAAAATAGGTGAGCCTCCATTTCTATTGCTTAAATTCAATTCAGTGTTATCCTTGTTAAACATACTTATGTCATGCTTAAATCATTTGAAATCCACGTGTTAGGATTGCTGAATTCTTGGTTCGTGGGCAAACAGATACACTATATTATCCATTATCTATACATGTTTGCATGGGTTTGAATGTCCAATGACAATCTGGTTACATCACACGTTTTCTGTTGATTAAATTTTGCATGAAAAACCACCAATTCTTGATGGGTCTCCTGATGCCCGTTGTAGTCTTAGAGTTAGCCTAGGCACTGCCTAGCTTTGTTCATCAAGCTAGCTATGTTTCAATCAGAAATCCTCTAATCATGTTCATGGCGAGATCCGCCTTTTTTCATATAAATCACCATTTTTGCGAGTTCAATCGCCATTTTTCTTGATTAAATCACTGTTTTTCATGGTTTTCCCATGGTTTTCTCCCTGGGATGAACTCCGGGGACTTCGTTCGAAAGGACGTGGTCTTTCGAGAGACCGGCACCGATACGGTGCCCAACGCGTCGCCCACGGCGGCCTCGGCGTCGTCGGATATCTACGGCTGGGGATGCCCGGTGAATCCATGGGAAAACCATGGGAAAACCATGGGAAAACCAGGAAAACCCCTGGGAAAACTATGGAAAACCCCGGGAAAACTATGGAAGAATGGTTTTTTATAGGGGAATGATCTCAATATGGTGTTATTT